TATATATATATATATATATATATATGCACACTGGATGAGTCAGCTGCTAAGCAGGACAGGCAGTGGTGGCAGAAACACCCGTAGGGCTGGATAAATGTCCTTGGCAGGCTGCATGTGGCCCACGGGCCATAGTTTGAGGACCCTTGAGCTATACGATGCATTGCCTCTCATCTAAATGGGAATCATAGTGAGAGTAAGCTTATCCTAGGATTGTGGTGAGGGTTAAAGGAAAGATTACAGGCGCTTAGAATTGAGCTTGGCACAGCATTCCTACCCAGTAAGTGTCAGCTATTATGACTCTATGACTCAATGACCTGGTAGATCAGATAACACCCCTCCACCCCCCAGTTTGTAATGGGCATTGGCTGCTTGGTTACCTAGTGTCCATTCTCAGGTTGTAATCATTAGTAACCAATCACCAACCAGGATCTGTTTCCCCAAAGGAGAAGCATTTGCTGCAGAGTTCATGGCTTGGCAGCAGAGCCCTGGGGGCCGTGGTACGATCCCCTTTGGGGGGGCCTTGCCAGCACTCCAGCCAGCCCCTGATGACTACAGGGGCTTCCAGCCTGTGGCATCTCTGATCGGTGAGAAAACCTCCTCTTGCTTCAGGTTGCACTCAAAGCTCCAACCTCTCAAACAACGAAAGGAATGAGCTGAAACAGCGCATCTAAATCCGGCCTCCAGACTCCAAAGAGAAGTCCAAGCAGCACATTATCAACTTGTATTGCCACCATCCAAGTCAGAAGTTCATTGCCATCAAGTTGACTCTCACTCATCGTGACCCGATAGGGGTTCCCTGTACATCTTTGTGGAAGCAGACCACTGGAATGGAAGTCGCACCAGGGCGCAGTGAAGTGCTGGAGCCTCATGGTGCATTTTGCTCGGCTCGATAGTTTAACTGGGGATTAATTCATTTACCTTTGCAGTTTTCCTTTAGAAGTTAGGTATTAATGCAATTGCTGTTGAAGTGATTTAAGGACAAAGAACTTAATTTGATTTGGTGTAAAATATGTAAGAAATTAATTAAGAAGTTACTTTAAGTGTATGCTTTCAATAGGATTTGTTTTCATTTCCAAAGAATTAAAACTTGGGAGTCAATAAATAGATTGTAACTATAAAGTATATAACTAGTTTGTAACTCCTTTCCAAAAGCTCTTCTCAGAAAAAGTGCGGCCAGAATGTTCCTTCGAGGCAAGGATGGCCAGCCTGCATCTCATGTTCTTTGGACATGTCAGAAGACCAGCCCCAGAGAAGGACAGCGTGCTTGGAAAAGTCAAGGAAGGCCTTGGACAAGACAGACGGACATCGTGGCTGATTGGTGGACTCACATATAGCCATCGTGAGGAGAGCGCGGCCCGACAGTGTTTCATTCTGTTGTGTGCGGGTCTGAGCTGATTCGAGGACGCCTAAAAACAGCTGTCGCTCCAAAGCTGGCGTGTTTGTTGATGAATAGC